CAGGTCGAGCTGTTGTTCAGCATCTTAGCTGTAGAGGGCAGTGTCACTGGCCCTCATATGTGGGATCCGAACCGGGGCCCTCTGGCATCCCAAACCAGTTCTTAACCAAATCGCCACTTGTCCGGCCCTGAATGTCTTTTTAAATGTATTTTCTGAATGCCTTTTTGAGAAGTCTTCTATGTTTTGAGCCAGCCAATATTAGATTTATTCATTCTTTCCCAAAAGGAGACAGACTATTTTTAGATTCAGTAAATAAAATAGTCCTGGAATTCAAGCTAATCCATGCTTTTTGTTTTGTTTTGTTTTTAATCAAGGGCCCAGCGATGTGTCCCACATTGGAATACAGACTAACACCACAGCGGCAACCTTTACTTGGGAGAACATGGATAAAGCCTCTGTCATGTACACCTACCGCCTTCTTATTGAGAGGGATGGAAATTCCAGCAAGGCAAAACAAGAAGTCACACCCATTGGTGTCACCTATGCTACAGTCACCGAATTAATCCCTGGCTCATCGTACACAGTAAAGATCTCCGCCTACGTGGGGGAAGTTGGGTCACTGGCACCTGGCCAGCAGTCATTCTGTACAGGTGAGTAGCACTAATACCTCTTTTACTTTCTGTGTGGTGCTGACCTTGCAGGTAGGTCTTCCCCAGACTTCAGTTTATCAGGTTTTGTGTGGTGTGTAATAGCAGACACTGAGCTCTCCGAGATACCCTATTCGCTGATTAGTGCTGTCTTGCTGCCCTCATCATTTATTCATTCAAAAAAATATTTATTGAGCACTTATTATATGCCAGGTACTTTTAAATGACTCAGATACATTCCTACCTTCCTGGAATTTTTATTCTGGTGAGGAAGATATAATAAACAGGATAAATAAGTTATTAGATGATGATTACTGCCAAGGGGGGGGGGAACCAAGGAAGCGGGGGATGAGATGTTGATTGAGGGTGCCCAGGGAAGGCCTCAGTGAAAAGGGGACTGCTGAGCAAGGATCCGAAGGAAATAAAAACTCCAGCCATGTGGACATCAGGGTGTAGAGCATTTCAGGCAGAGGAGCAGCCAGTGCAAAGGCCCTGAGGCTGGAGTGTGCCTGCTGTGTTGAAGGAAGAGCTGCAGGCCAGGGTGGCAGGACTGGGTCCATGAGAGCAGGAGGGCGAGGGCGGAGGAGGGAGGCCCGAGGGGTAATGGCGGGGCGCGGATGATGACGTCTAGACTTGTAGTTTATAGTTTGGCTTTTACACTAAGAAGATGGAAAAGGTAGTGTTAAAATGGGTGCTCGGCTTTTCACCTTTCTTCATCCTTATCTTTCACCGCAAAAAGTGTGATAAAGAGAAGGGGAGCCCCGTGCTGAGCGGTTCTGCAGGTCATGAGGACCTCGGCCCACAGTTCTGATTGTGGCTTATGTATTACCTTATTCTCCACCCTCTTTGCACCCACACCTTCCCGTCCTGAGACCAAGGCATCCAAGTGTGTTCAGGCTGATTTGGAAGGGGGTGGTCTCCTTGGATCAGCCTCCTTGGTAGTGCAGGATCTGGAACCTCGATGACCTCTGACCTCTCACATGGAGCAGCTAAAGCATCCCCTGCAACTTTGGGTCACCTCTGCTAACTCATGCTCCATCCCACCTAGTCCAGACTCTGATCTTTGGAATTTGGTAGCTTCCATTGCTGACACTTCTCTTAGCTATAATTACTGCAGCCCAAAGCAGGAGAAAAGTACACATGAGCATTGATGACTCAGGGTGGAGGGAACAGGAGCTGTGGGACTCGGTATGCATTGTGGAGGGTACCTTTCCAGGCCTCAGGTGGAGAATAGGGGAGTTTCACTGAGTGACTTGTTAGAGCTGTTTCTGCTTTGAAACGCTGCAACATTAAAGTAATGCTGATATTCTCCCGCAGTGCAGTGTATTAATACAGACTTTTCCATCTATATCAGTTTGATGTTGGCTCTCAAGAAATCTCTGTTGGCTTTCAGATAGGTAGAAACAAATAACACTTCATTTAAAGGTGAAGGCACTGATGCCACTGACCACTGATTATGCAGCATGTTGTGTGTATAGAAAATGCCCTGGAGTTGGATTTAGGAAACCTGGAATCCAGTTTTGGCTGCCCGACTTACCAGCCATATCATCTTATGCCAATTACTTAACCTCCCCAAGCCTCGGTTGATTAATCAGCAAAAGGGGATGGTAATCCCCAAAATGAGAGGACACGGGTAAAGAAGTTTCTATCACCATACTGTTAGGATGTAGCTACCTCTCATGGAACCCTGTTCTCTTCTAGTTTGGTGACTGACAGCCAGTGTGTCATCCTCAAACAGTCCTGCAGCGGAGGCTCAGAGCAGTTGGGTGACTGACCCAGGGTCACGTAGTTTAGTAATGCCTGATTCAAGGTCAGCCTCTGCCACCTGCCTGTCGCCTCATCATGGATGGGCCAGGCTTCTACTGCTCCCCAAGTTTTAGTGTTTTCAAAGGCAAAAGCCCTAGAATCTCATGCTGTGCTGTGCTTGCTTTGCAGATCCTTCCCCAGTGGCTTCTTTCCACTGTGAAGTGGTCCCCAAACAGCCAATCTTGGTTCTCAAGTGGGCCTGCCCTTCCGGTACCAACACAGGCTTTCAGCTGGAGATCAGCAGAGGAGACTGGAAAAATACGACACGGCTGGAGGGCTGCTCCTTGGAGAACGGCACTGAGTACAGGACGAACGTCACATATTTGAATTTTTCTACCTCGTATGACATCAATATCACTGCCTTGTCCTGTAACAAGATGGCTCTTCCCGCTCAAAATACCTGTCTCACAGGCATCACAGGTGGGCTCTGTGGCAGCAGGGTGGCCTGGTGGCATTGTGGTTACCCCTGGAAAGGCCAACCCAGCGGGTCTGCAAGTGTGGCCTAGAAATCTGTTATGTTTTTGTTTTTGTTTTTTTCAATTTCTGCTACAATATTTGTTTTTGTTGGCATGGACTATTAATCCAATTCTATAGAAATCTGGTCTAGAAAAGCAGAGTGAGAGGGGCTCATTTTTTACATCCCAAAAGTTTCCTTTGCTTTACAGAATAATTAATTGCTACATTTTCTAAGTAGTGAGTTCCTTTACTACATTAAAAAAAGCATTTTTGTAAAAATATTCAAATATACAAAAAAGTAGAGGAAGGTATAAAGAAGCCTATGTAGCCATCATCACCCGGTTGAACATCTGTCAGCATTTGACCAATCATGTTTCATTTCAAATCCCTCCTCCCTTATTGGATTACTTTTCAGCCAGCCCTGATCATTGTAGAATTTTGTTTGTAAATATTTCAGTGTGTATTGCTCCAAGATAGTGATTCCTTTTTCCTTCCTTTCAAACAGGACTATGTTACTGTTACCATCACCCTTACAAATTTAACAGTACTTTATTCCCTATTATCAGATATTCAGTCAAGATTCAGATTTCCTTAGAATCCATATTAACAAACTTCCCAGCTGTTTTGGAAAACGGGATCACTCACTGTACAGGGGATCTGCCTAATTAATCTGCCTGTGCCCATCTGTCTTTTGTGGTTGTTGTTGTTCTTGGAAAAGTTGCTTCTTATATTTGGTTCACTGATATTGGTCTTTTGCTCCCCATGTCTTTGCCAAAGTTATGTCTTAGAGATCAACCTGGCTGAGTTGGTTTTGCCTTGTGCTTTTAGACTCCTGGATATGTTTTTTTTAGGGTATCTGAGTGTTTCCAGACAATTTCTAAAGAATTAGTGGTTGTAATATAAAAAAAAAAAATGGCCTCTTCAGGGACACTTGGAAAGTGGTTAAGGGGCTCTGTGGACAGAGCCTCAGACTTATAAAGGCAGACTTAGGTTTGATTCTAAAGTCTGCCTTTTACCAGCGGTGTGATCTCAGAAAAACTACTTAACCCCTCTGAGCCTTGTTTTCCTTAGTTGTGAAAAGGGGAAATAGTACCTACCTTCCAACACTGTTATACAGATTAGACGAGGTAATTTGTGTGGAATATCACTTAAGATCTGCCACGTATGGCTGCTCAGGTTGTGCACTGCGCTATTCCAGGAGACACCATTCATTCATATGGACTCTGGTGTGCATGGGGCTCCTTGGAGTTGTGTAGTACACAACTGGACAGGACGATGGGCCACCCTCCTTTGGGTTTCCGCAGCATAGCATTGTAGAAACCATGAATCGTATGGGTAGTTTTTTTGTAGTTTTCTGTTTTATGATATCATATCTTAAGTGGGTATAAGCTACTGAGAACCAGAAAGCATGTCTGGTTTGATATCTCCAGTGCTGAGCAGTGTTCAAGGCAGAGTAGGAGCTTGTCAGAGTTAGTTATTCCTGAAGCTGAACAATGTGTGGGATGGTTGAAGAATGACCACTGTTGTTTAGTCCAGTGATTCTCTCACGTTTTGACCTGTAGCTCCCTTTCCTCAGTTGAATTGTTATGTACAAATTTAACATGGTTTTCATTTAACATGAAAGTGGAGCCTGCATTTTCTCTGAGAGAGGTAGGAAGTGTTGGCAGGATAGTAAATTTGGGAGAGTTGGAATGATAGCCTTTTAGCCAACATTTGTTGGTGCTTACTGTGTGTCTGGGTAAGGGATGCTATGGTGTGCCTGGCAGATAGGGCCCCTGCAGCATAGGATTGAGATAAGCAGTGAGAGCAAGAGGGTTTCCAGGTTTGGAGGCGGGTGAGCTAGCGTGCCAGCCGACAGCCTTGGGTGGGATGCTGGCAGGCTGAAAGGCATATCACTGCTGGGAAACGTGGGAGCCTTGTTAGGAAGTCTCTGTTGAGACAGTTGACAATTAGACATGGGGACCCTGCCTCCAACTGGCCACTGCTGTCAGTTGCTTGAGAGATTGCTGAAGTGCAGTGTAGACCTGTGCTGTTCAACAGAAAATAAAGTAAGCCTCCTGTATAATTAAAATTTTTCTAGGAGCCATATTAAAATCTGAAAAGGAACACCTGGAATGAATTTTGATCACATTTTCTTTAACTCAGTATATTAAATGGGTTATGGTTTCAACATGTAATCTGTGTAAAGTGTTAATGAGATATTTTACACTTTTTTTGCACTAAGGCTTTGACTACACCTGAGTTTGGACTAGTCACGTTTCAAGTGCTCAGTGGCGACGTGAAGCGAGTAGCCGCCATATTGGGCAGGGCAAGTCTGGAGAATTGCACGTGGTTTGAGTTCAGCTTCCTTAGTCTCCCTGAATCTGGAACATAATGATGAAAGCTGTCAAACTGTATCTGGGAGGCAAGTTTACGTAGAGAGTGTGTGTGGAGAGGGCTCTTCTTCGATTCAGAGTTTTCATCCTTTTGTGTTAATTCAGGGAGGGGCTTCACCAGCTTACCTCAGGAAGGTGAGGCGTATCGTTATGAAGGTCAGCCATGGGACGTTCCTGTGTGGGCTTTTCTCGTGTCTGGAAGACGGTCGGTCGGGTTTCTCTAGCTGGCGTTTTAAACCAACCCCAGCAAAATGAGGACTTTGGCGTGAGGACGTAGAGCAGGGATGTGGCCAAGTCTCAGAGAAAGCTCATTCTCTCCATATCAGTCATCTTTGCTTCCCTCTGGGTATTTGGTCATCACGTTCTCAGCCAACCGTCCTGGTGCTAAGTCCATGCAGTGGGCAGATGTCTGCATACAGCTCCCAAGTCCCCACTTTAGCGTTCCCCCCACACAGCCTCTCAGTTCTCAGGATAAGCAACCTGGCCCCTCTGGGCCTGGAGGGGTCGGGGGAGATAGAAAAGGCAGGTTATCTTCCACCAACAGGGCTGCGTGCTGGAGGCTGCCCCAGGGATGTGGCTGCACCCACTGCAGGGGTCACCGTGAGTGAGGCGGGCTCCCCACCAGTTCCTTTCCCTGCCCCTTGCTTGTGGATTTGCTTTGCAGGAGCCCAGCACACAGCTTCCAGAACAAGGGCAGAACTGGAGGAGGGCTCTGCAGCCAATTCTCTACTTAGTCGTTTTGTCCCTTCTTTGGTTTTAGATGTCAGATGATCATGTGTTTTGTTTTGTTCTGTTTCAGAACCCCCTTCTCCAGATGAATCTCCTAATATTACAGCTGTCAGTCACAATTCGGTAAAGGTCAAGTTCAGTGGGTTTGAAGCCAGCCACGGACCCATCAAAGCCTACGCTCTCATTCTCACCACTGGGAAAGGTGAGGGGGGTCATTATGGGTCAAATAGCCAGTGAGTGATGCAGTGACGGGGTGCCATTTCTGTACCCATTGAGGCACAGAAACAAACTGTTTCTTATAGATACAAACTGTTTTTACACTGTAGCCTATGTTTGGCAGTCAAATGGGGATGGGAGGGGGTAAGCCATTTGCCTGATGATTTCATGTCAGGGACTGACCAGCTTTCTGTAAGGAGCCAGACAGCAAATATGTTAAGCTTTGCAGGCCTTACAATCTCTGTTGCAACTGTTGAACTCTGCCATTGTAGTGTGAAAGCAGTCATAGAAGATACATAAATGAGTGTGGCTGTACCAATAAAACATTATTTACCCAAATGAATGGTTGGCGGGATTTGGCCCTTGGACCCTAACTTGCTGGTATTTGATCTAGGTTTTTCGTCTATTTTACAACACAGGGTCTTTGAACTGGCAGCATGTATCTTAACCAACTTTCTCTCTCTCTCTGTCACACACACAAAGGCACGTACACATAGTCAAAGGCTGACTTTCTCTTGAAAGAAAACAGCAAACGATTTGCATTTGTCGTGGGAACTTGCAAAGAGCATCCTCATAGCTGAGAGAGGAGGTGGATGAAAGCCTGCTTTTCCTTACAGGGTTCCAGGACATTCTTTGGAAGTAAGAAGAAAATGATGGAGGGGTCTCTGCTAGCTGCCTGTGGGTGCTTTGCACAAGGCCTGGGTTGAAAAATGCCATGTTTTGTTATTTTTGGTGATTTTTTTTGTTTGTTTAAATGTGACTAATGCAGTGTGGCTCCTTCTCAATCTCTCAGCCTGTGATGTTGTCTTCATCTCTTGGAAGAAGGTGGAGCTTAAACACACTGTCAGGGGTGGTGATGACCATGGAAGACAAGGAATTGGCTGCTGTCATAAACCTGTGGCTAAATTTCAAAAAGCGATGTTGCAATCTCTGCCTCTCTCCCTCTCTCCCTCTCTCCCTCTCTCTTTCCCTCTCTTCCTCTCTCCCCCCCCCCACCCCCGCTTTCTGTCTTTCATTTTGGGTCTGTTTCAAGCACCTAGCTAGCTATTTTGCTGTGAAGATTTTTGGCAAATTCCGCGCTTGGACCTGTGCGGAATGAGGGAGGCAATGTTACATAGTGACCCAACTGACCAGTACCAGCTTGTGGTGGATGAGACCACACGCTCGAGTCAGATCGTTGGGGTTAGAAATACATCTCTACCATGTAGGCAGTGAGGTCTTGGGTCCTTTTACTTTCTGTGCCTTCATTTTTCCACCTGTAAAATGGGGATAATAAACCTATGTGATGAGATTATCGTGGGGATTAAATGAGTTCATGTAAACAAAGCACTTAGAACTTGATACACGTAAAGCCTCCGCAGAGAGCATCCTTGAGAGAAGGCAGCCATCATCACTGTCACCCAGTGTCCACGTGGGTGTGGGAGACTTACATCTGTTTGCAGTCCCTTTCCTTATGATTTCTCTTCTTTGTGCCTTCCTTAGCTCTTCACGCGTCCACAGATGATTTGAAATATACGTATGAAGATTTCAAAAAAAGGGCTTCGGATACTTATGTGACATACCTCATAACAACAGAAGAAAAGAGACATTCTCAGGACTTGTCTGAAGTCTTAAAATATGAGATTGATGTTGGGAATGAGTCGGTCACGCACAGCTATTACAACGGGAAGCTGGAACCCCTGGGGCGCTATCGGTAACGTCTCCTGGTTCTTGTCCTTGGGGGCTGAGCCTCCTGAGTGCAAAGCTTTCCGTGCCTGGGTGTTGGACACGTTTCAGATGCCTCTCTTTCCTCTTGTCCTCTTGTCGTCCCACAGGGCTTGTGTGGCTGGCTTCACCAATATCACCTTTAACCCTAAGAAGGACGGACTCATAGATGAGGCCGGCAGCTATGTGTCCTTCAGTCGCTATTCGGAGGCCGTTTCCTTGCCCCAGGATCCAGGTAGAAGACCAGTAGTGCTGTTAGCAAGTCTGGGTTTTTGCTGCCAGTGCCAACCGAAGGCGGGGTGTCTGCATGCCTGCCTCATGCCTCGTTGGGCTCCAGGAGGCTTGGAGCGCCTGGTGTCTCCTTCCAGAAGTTGAGATGTCACTTGGCCCTGAAGGCCCAGCTCATCCCCACACTCTCCCTTCTCTGAAGTTATACTTCAGCCTGCCCACCAGTTAGTGCTCTTTTCTCAGTGTAGTCGTTTGTATGCCCACGTGCCAGACACACAGTGTGACTTTTAATGCACAGAAGCCTCGAAGGGAGCCACAGAAATCGTCTTGTTCAACTTTTAGAAACGAGGCTGCTAAGGCCCACAGAGGGCCAGCGACTTGCCCAGGGTTGCACTGTGGCTTAGAGGCAGGTATGACCTTCTCATCTCAGACTCCTGGTCAGCACTGCTGGCCTTGATCACACAGAGCGGAGTGATCTAGGAGCTTCAGGGACTCAAGGCGGGCACGTCCCCTACCTTCAGGCCAGAGACACATGGACCACCTGGCTTGTCAGTTTGTCTGGTTGTCACACTAGTTGATTGTCGGCTGCAGGAAAGAACGCCTGTCCCAGAAGCGAAGTTTGGGGAGTCCCCGCACCCTTCCCCAATAAACAGATGGGTTTTACGTATGTCACCTGAGCATGGTGCTGTGGGTACTTCTGCTCATATGTCAGTGTTGGTCCCAAAAGGTCAGAGGTAGCAGGAAGCAGGTAGAACGTGGTTCCCTAAATTTGCAGTTGGGGAAACTGAGAGCTGGAGAGGAGCAGTTACTTTCTGAGGACCTCTAGTTAGTGGTGGACTGGGGACAAGTCACCTGACTGCCAAACGCCTAGACTGGTTTTAGGTCCAAAGGTGTTTAACTCCGCGTGTGAGTGAGTGTGTGTGTGAGTGAGTGTGTGAGTGAGTGAGTGTGTGTGTGTGTGTGTGTGTGTGTGTGAGTGAGTGTGTGTGTGTGTGTGTGTGTGTGTGTGTGTGTGTGTGTGTCTGCACGTGAGACACACCCATCGCTCTCTCTGGTTCGAGGGCTCTTCCGGTTGTTGGTGAACATACCTCTTCAGGTGCCTCCCATTTGGATTTTTCCCAGGTGTCATCTGTGGAGCAGTTTTTGGGTGTATCTTTGGTGCCATGGTTATTGTGGCTGTTGGAGGCTTCATCTTCTGGAGAAAGAAAAGGTGACTATTGTTTATATTAATAATCATACCCTGCTTTTCAAAGGAACCTTTTTATTATGGAAAATTTCAGACACTTACACAACTGGGAGGAAGAGTGTAATGAGCCTCAGGTCCCCGCCATCCACAGTCTTGACGCTCTGGCCAGTCTTATTTCATCTCAGCCCCTGAGCTGGAGGGTTTTAGAGCAAATCCCAGCCCTGACATCAGGTCATGGGGACGCACTGCCTTGTAGGATGCTACTTGCAAATGTTGCATTCTTGTTCACAAATCGGTTTCTTGGTGTTAAGCGATTTTGGTTGAGTGTTAGCTAAGTTTAAACACTTGCTCTGTCTCTGACTAGCCGTGAGGGAGCTGAGCCTCACTGGTGTCCTCATCTGTGATATGGGGATAGTAACAGTGCCTAAGTCATAACACTGAAGAGCATTACATAAAGCGTTTCCCACAGTGCCTTGTGCCTCATATGCTATGATCATTTCATCTGTACAACCACCATTCGAGGTAGTTAAATGGTAAAAATAGCAGCTCTGTTTTGAGCGCTTACTGTGTGCCTGGATTCCTGCTTTCTGTGAATTCTCTCACTCGTGGGGCTCTGTGAGGCAGGCCTCGTGAACCCCGCTTAGAAAAGTGTGGGAATGAACTTGAACCTGGCCTTTGCTCTTCACTGGTGCCCTCTTTCTTGCCTGACTGTATAATGTGTGAAGCCTGTGTCTCGCCTGGGATTCGTTTGCTGTTTCTTTCTAATGCGGTTATGCGTGGTTGGTTCTTCTGTTGCCACCTTGCCCTGTGGAGCTGACAGGAAGTGCCTGGGTCCCAGCTGTTTGAATCAGTTTCTGATTTTTGTTTTTGCAACGCAGGGGTCAAAAACAGCTTTATTGTTTCTTGTTAAAAGTAATACATGCTATGGCAAAACAAAACCAAAACCAAAAAAACCACCAACAACAAACCAGAAAAGAAGAGCAAAGAAAATAGTTAATCCATAACTGTAGCACCCACATGAAACCACCTTTAACATTGGTGTGATTACAAAACTCACACACAAATACTTACCCACAGGCACACACAAGTGGAATCATATTATACATATTATTTTCTAGCCTGCTTTATTCACTTAAGACACATGGACAGCTTCATTTCATTTTCATTTTAAGTGGCTACAGAGTATTCAACTGTATGGATATTATTTAACAATTTCCTTTTTTTTTTTTCTTCCTTTGCCACAGTTACTTATCCGTGTGCCTAAATCTTTGGGCACATTCATGATTAATTCCTTAGGTTAAGCTCCAAGCTGGTCAGTCACTGGGTCAGTGGGTAGGCACGCTTTCCATTTTGAAACTTAGGCCAAATTGCCTTCCAGAAAGTTCTTTTTAAACACCATTATGAGGTTTAGCCAACAATGCAGGGGAGCACCAGATGCCCCCCTACATGGCTATGCCAGATACCGTATTTCCCCTGTATAAGGTGCACCCTTTTTTGAAAAAATTAGGGGTCTAAAAACTGGGTGCATCTTATACAGTGGTTGTAGATTTTTTTTACTTGCATTGCCCGCTTTTTTCGCACTTGTTTTTGTGCTCATACAACCACTGTATAAGACACACCCAGTTTTTAGACCCCCAATTGTTCGAAAGAGGGTGCATCTTATACATGGGGAAATATGGTATACCTTCTCATTTATCCCATTAACTTATTAGAAAGCCTTTCTCAAAAGCAGAGTATTAAATAATGAGTGTCACTTTACAGTAAGGTAATGCTGCTAATGTATATTTACCCAAAGAAATTCCTAAAAGCTGCTTGAGTAAGATTCTTACATACTTTTAGAGGGTACAAAAGAGAGTAACTTCACCGATTTATAATCAGCATTTTCTGCTTACTTAGACCCTTAAGCTCAGTATCAGTCAGCAGGACTTAGTGTTGTATATGAGGTAATGTCCAGGGAAAAGGCATTTTGAGATACACGAAACAGACAAAGCACACAACCGTTTTGGTCTAATGTTTTATTTTTTCTTTTAAAACAGGAAAGATGCAAAGAACAATGAAGTGTCCTTTTCTCAAATTAAGTAAGTCTCTAGAGTTATGAGCTCTATTTTAGGACATTTAATCTCCCACCCATTCAGTGACTATCTAGAGAATTTTTTTTTTTTTAAAGATTTTTATTGGGGAATTGGGGGGATGGGAACAGTGCTGGGGAATTGGGGAAAGGGGAACAGACAAGTTGCTGTCGTTTT